TTATAATTATTATTATCATTATTATTATCATTATTATTATCATCTCTTCTATTTCAATCTTCGCTGTTGTTCTTTTCGTGCATTAGCCGGGCGAAAAGCATGCACCTAAGGCATCAATCATTCTGTTCATACAATAAATATAAATTTATACTAATAATTATTATTATTATCATTATCATTATTATCATAAATGTTCTTATTATAGTTATGATTATTATGGTTGTTATCATCATTATCATTGCTAGCATTTACATTGCTATTATTATCACTACATTATCAGAATTAAACTGAACATTTCTCTGTAAGTCTAAAAAAAAATTCTGAAATTTCAAGCAAACTAACGCAATGGATCTGCGCCAAAATTTCTTGTGACGAAGGAGTGGTGTAAAGGAAACAGTATTTTATGACTCGTAATCTATTTTTTTCAACTGATTTTGAAACTATATAATTAGCTAACTTGGTCCATTCGTCCCCTTTTGAAGAAAACCAACTAACAACACAACGTATTAGTCTTCAACTTCTTCTTCGTGTAACAATTTCCAGTTTTAAACTGACAAAACACCGCTTTATATAAAAAAATATTTCAGTCTGTACCTGCCCCGTGACCGACTTCTTAGGTCAGACAAAAAAAGCACCAGTCTTCTCGAAAAGGTAACGAAATTAGAAGAAAAGCTAACAGATCATTCTGGAAAGGTCACAGCAGCGATATGCGATATTTAGGTAGATAAGGATACCAAAACTGCATTTGGCGGCGACCAAACTGTAAAATCCGAGGGACAGATTTAAAAGATGATACATTAACATGCGTGCTATTTAGTCCAACGCGATGACAAAGCGGCTTTGATTAATAACAGCTTTGAGTAATGAATGAACAACTGAGCGGTTAATAGATCAACAGGACAAGAATAGCCGCTTGAGAAAGTGTAAACGGCGTTATTTGACCCAAGGATAAAATTGAACCACAACATATACACTGCATTTACTATTTACCTTTCGTGATTATACCACATACATCGTTTCACGCATTACATGTTCGTTCATAAACATTAAACCGAGCACAAGCTAAAATGCCTCGATCACACAGAAAATAGAATCTAACTGATGACTTGAATTTACCACTGAATGTAGATGATAATGACAAACGAACGACGCGCTCTAAGAGCAATGCGGAAATGTGACTCTACACTAAGTCACAAACCCGAGACAAACAAATATGGATATCTTACAATTGAGGCGTTGATATGAAGGAATAAACCTCGTTTATACGACATTCACGTCGCTGTTACCTATAATACTCAAACAGCACCACTAAACGACGCTGATAATGCAGCATATCGCTAGGTAGACGGTGCACTATTGATTTATGTAAGTGTTTGTTATGTCTGCTATCTCGCGCGCGTATTAGTGCATTCTGGCCGAAACGGCGCAATGAAGGGGACGCAAATCTTTGACTTCTGCGAATAAAGAATACCACCGTTGAACAGTACCTCATACAATCGATTTTCTTCATGAAAAAAAACTTTAACTTTTCTACGCAGTTATATTCCTTTCCTTCCAAAATCGAGATCTTGAAAGGAATTGATATTCTTGTTAGTCTAATATAATGTATTATTTTCTGTTATATCCGTTGCCGCATATTTATTGTGAAAGAACCTGAACCCGCAACATCTCCACTAAGCGTACATGGGCGCTGAAATTTTGTCCTCTGGTGATCCAAATTTGTTTCAAGCAGACACTTAAATTTGTTTTGATTATGAATATTTTTCATTATAGGTAAACTGTTCAGGTTTGAAATTGTGTTTGGTTCAATCAATGAGAAGAGAAAGTAGTAGCGCAAAGTCTGTTTTGGCTTGTTTCACGATCCTTCGAGGAAGAAGAGATTGTAAAACTATCTGTATCGCAATTGAACCGAGACAGCTACAAGAAGTACTTGTAAATGAACTTCCATATTTCCATATTAAAGTAGTTTGCTATATACAGAAGATAAACGAGGAAATCCAGGCAGGAGAACCAAATAACATAAATATAATATGAACAGCGAACTAGAACGGAATGAACAGACAGACGAACTTAGTAAATAATTAAACAATGCGACTGCCTTCCAAAAGGTAAAAAACTCACGAACTTGGCACTTACCTTAAATGAAAATATTCCAGACGCAAGTTCACAGTCCCTCAACTTTCGCGTGTAGATCTACATCAACCAGAGCCCGAAAAGTGTCAGAGTCGCTCCGAACCAGAAATCTTATTTCCTTTCACATTTTGGCCCTCATGATAAGGGAAAAAGACACCTCAGTGCATTCAAAACTTCGGAAGCCAGCGATGGACACCCAAGCCAAGCTGATGGATGACCTGAATAGTCTTAAGAGCAATTAGCTCGTAAATCAAACAAGCTGTCACGCATAAACTTTTATGTAACGCAATGACTAGGTATACTGAAAACAGTTTCCTCTGGATTCTCTGTATCTCGAAAGTGTTATAAAAGGTGACTCAGTCGACACCTAGTGGAGCCTCTACGCATTAAAAGACTTCAGAAAACAAGTAGGGTAACCTGATCTTTAATATCAGGAGAACTTCGTAAAAAGAAACAACTGCTTTGTACTCTATTCGTAAGGCCCCGTAGCCCTAAATATAACCCTGATAGTATCAAATCGATTTAAAGGGACATGTTATGTTTCATAGCGTTTATGCGACCTAGAAATTATGCTTAAAAGCGAAAAAAAAAATCAATAAAGCAGACGGTATAAGTCCAGAAAAATCGTGGAAGGTTTGAAATGGAGGAGGTTACCAAACTTTCATCATGATTTAATCTTTCGCTGAAAATCAATCCAGGAAAACATTGGTCTTGTCTTCTTCATTTCACCCGATGAGTGACTAGAAGAGTATCTTTCCGTGGGTTATTTACCTGAAGAAATTTCGTGACAGAATTTGCATTCACGAGTTCCCGAAGTCAAATCTGAACCACTTGATCGATTTAAGAGAAGAAACAATCACCGACTTGGACACAACTGACGACATCCAAGGAAAGGGGGTCGAAGTTATGAGTTTACTTGACCGCATAGTGTCTGGAAAAGACGCTGTTATTTCTTGAAGTTCGAAAGTTATTTCCACGTCCAAGATTGAGTGCAATTTTGACGACTAAATTTTTTAAAATCATTTGTAATTCATATGAGTTTTTCGACTTTAAAGGGCAGGTTCAAAATAACTAGGCCAATTTCGTTCAGTGGCAGAAAAAACTAATACCATTTTTAAAGGCTGATTTTGAAATTCGAGAAGTTAAAAATAGATTTGAATGTTATTTTCCCTCCCTGTGAAACAATTATGAAACTTTCGTTCAAAAATTGTTCGGTTAGAAAATAAAGCTACTCGCACAATCAATTTTTTTCGACGTGGTCGGGGGAAAGCTGGTACACAGTACCACGCTTTGTAGAAGTATAAAGAGTCTAAACCTGCTGTTTCAGTCCTTTTATTGTCTGTCCTCTGAAAAAACAACAACCATTGCTATAATTTTCTAACTTAAACAACCAGAAAGAAAACAACAGTTTTTATTATATAGCTGGCAGTCCCCGTGGGCAGTATGAAGTGAATCCTCTGTTCTGATTGGGTACCGAAGCGGGCAAGATGGGCACATCATGTGCAAGAAAATATGCGCGTGAAGTGTATAAAGTCCGTTACTTTTGGCGCAAAAAGCCGCAGAAGACAGTCAAGACAAAGAAAACATATATGATCATTGTGGGTTTACTGGTCTACAAACACAGTTGCCTTTCTTTCGCSTCTCTCGAAATAAAGAAGTAAAGATTGATTCTTATTAAAACGATATCTTTTTGCTGTTTTAATATCATCATCATCGTCATCAGAGTTAATTTCACACCTGGCGGAGGAATTCCTCCCTAGAATGATCCCACAGGTATCTGACTTTAGCCAATCTCGACCATGCAGGTCCCAGCTGTCTGGTGAGATTATCCCTCCATCGTGTTTTTGGACGGCCCTTTTTAATATACCCTTAATTAACCAAACTTGTTCTGTCGAGATGGCTGGATGTTAGCCTCGTTCTTTATATGTGTTTTTATGGACATCAACTTCGTCTCGGTTCATAAAACGCGGGCGATATCCAGCCATCTTGACTCCATACTTGGTATTTATTATACAGCTGGCAGCGCTCGTGGGCGAGATAAAGCAAATCCTGTGTTGTAATTGGCTACCCGAGCGAGCAAGATGGGCCCATCACAACGAAATACAAAAGAAAAGAGGTTTTCAAGATTTTCCTTTGCCTCCAAGATATTCCTACTTCTAAATGATCACCAGCCAAGTGTAAACGAGTACCATGAAAATGGTACAAGACTACAATTCTCTTCATCAACAGTCCATTCTTTAATTTCTGGTTGCCCTAGAAATTAGCTGGTTACGATTTCAAACCCTTTCTCATCATGATACCACTTTCTATCCCATTCTAGCTTTCGGCTTATATTTTGTCTGCTATTAGATAAAACCGACATTGAAGTATAGCATAATTATGATGAAAACACAGCAGAATTGCCTTTTCAGGACGCTCCTGAAAATTCTTCCTTCACTTTTCTGACTATGATTTCACTCATTTCTTTCAGCACCTCGAGATTTTCATGCCCCACTATATAAACTAGGATACTTTTTTCGATAGCCTCTTTTAATGCAGCTTCTTCCATTAGCGGGTTTTGCATCGTTTTCAAAGGCTCGTTACTTCCCATGTTCTGCTGTCTCCTTGGAGGTTCATCTACATTGTACAAAGCCAAGAAGACCAATATCGTAAGGTGCACTAAATCACTCAGTGTTGCAAAAGTGATTTATAAGAAATACAAACAAATTATCCTCCCTCGATTAAAACTCAATGAGAAACCTTGAATAGATTAAACCTTTAAAGACGTTTTAATCGAGAACATCCCTAGGGCGATCGAAAACAAAGAAAGATACAAACGGCTTGAAAACACTCAGCTGAAGATTCTCTTAGTTGAATCAATCAGCACAGTATATTTCTTACACTCAAATTCAGGAGCGGTTTCGACTGCCAAACAGTATCCAAAATCACAGTAACAAGTGTTTGAAAGGGAATCAATCTTTTCCGAATTTTTTCAAATGACCTTATACGACCCCTATGCCGAAATTTTAACCAAAAAAAAAAACTAGGCAGATCTGGTTGATGGTGTTTTCGGTAAAAGGCCGGAATTTTACAGAACATTGGCAATTAACTGTGAGGAGCTTACGAACAATCAGCATATCAACATTATATTATGTTTTCATGGTTTTGAAGGACACTCAGACTAAACTGAAACTCACCTACTCTTGGTTCCATTCTCGTCCAAGCTTGATCCATCTTTCCGACAGTTTGGAGACTTTCTTTTAACTCCCTTAGACTTATGTTTCGTGTTCTCGATGCATTTGCC